CCATCTGGTGAATTTTTAAATTTATCTATTTTACTTTTCAGTTTTAGAACTTCCATTTGGTTCTTTTTTATGGTTTCTAATTCTGTTCACTCATTAAGAGTATGCTTTTTTTCTTTCCTTGAATATATTTTCCTTTAATTTTTTGAGCTTATTTATGATCTTGGGTTCAATTTCTATTGCCTGCTTCCTGCCCACCCCCACCCTGGGGGATGGATCTTATTTTCTCCATTCTTTGTATGTCTAGCAAATTAGAATTTGATAGTGGACATTGTGAACAATACATTGTGAGAATCTGGATTTTGTTACCTTCCTTTGAAGAATGTTGATTCTTAGTAAGCAATTCAAATACTTGTTACAAATAATCATCTTGAACATGTCTAGGTTTGGTCTAATGGTTTGTTACTGCAGGTTTGTGAGAAGCCTAAAGGTTTCCAATCCCCTCTAATTTGGCAGGCCTCAACAACTAAATACTCTCTGCGGTGAATCTTTGAGGGCTTATGTTTAGATTTTGTTAAGGCATATCTAGTGTGGGCATGGTCCTTTTTCCTAAGGCACATCATTTCTAGTGTCTCAATTGAAGTCCAGAGTTGTTAATGATATCTCTTTGCTCTGTCAGGGCTGGAACTCCAGTGACCTCCAGATTGCTTGATCTCTAGTATTTCTGTTCCATTTTCAAGCTCCTGGAAGCTTCTACCTGGCAAGCCTTGGGTGGTCTCACTCTATGTGTGTACAGCACATCCCTCATCCATGTTCTTATGGGGGACTACTATACAGGCTTCTAGAGCTCTCCTCCACACAGCTCCCTCCTCTACAAAATCTCACCCCAAAGATTACATCAATTTCACTATCCTGATTGCTGATCTCTGTCTCCTCAGATTATTGGGATCCCTGTATTCTGCCAGAACCCAGTACTCTGAGCTGTAGTTAAGAATTATCCTCAGCCAGATAGATGGACAGTCATGGGGTTCACCTTATAAATTCCCTTTCTCTCGGGGATCACAGTCTTACATTGCCTTTTTCTTTTCCTTTGCCTGAAACAGATATTTTGTCCCGTTTTCTAGTGTTTACAGTGAGAGGGCTTTTCCCACAGTTGCTATATTGTGGTCGGAAGTGGCATATACATGGGTTTCTAATTTACATCAATGTCATTATGCTGTAAATTTCATTAAGTTGCTTCCTTTTCCACACAACACTGTTTTCAAGATCTGTTCACATTGTTATAGGTACACAGAGATTATTACTTCTAACTGCAGCATAGTGTTCTGTGGTGTGAATTTACTACCTTTGTCTTTTCCATCGACCTAGTGATTGATATTTGAGTTGCTGCCTACTTCCCCCTACAACAACAGCAACAACAAAATGCCATAAAGAATATACTCTGAAATATAAACCTAGAATTGGGAACGCTACCTTATGGTGTGTAAGCATTATTTCATTTTCCTGAGCGCTAACAGGTTCTTTTCCAAAACAGTTGAATCAGTTCATACTCTCATGAGCACCGCACAAGAGTGCCAGTCTTCCCATATACTCATAAATACCTGGTATTACACAACTTTATATTTTTTGTCCTTCCAGTGGAATAAAAATGGTATTTCATTGTTTTATGTTTCACCAGTTACTTGTTATCTTAAGCATTTCTTTACATCCCATTTAGGAATCCAAACTTCCTCTTCTATGAATTGCCTATTAATATAATAACTTTTTCCCAGTTTCTTTGAGTCTTATTTATATTAGTTTACAGGAATTTCGCATATATATTTGATAATAATCCTCTGTGGATTTTAGATGTAAAGATATTTTAAATATCTTTACAAAGTCTTCCATTTGTCTATTAACTTCATCTACAGTATCTTTTGTTGAACAGAAATCCTTATTTTCATGTAGACAAACTTTTGGTTTGGATATTGACATTGGCCAGGGCCTTTGCAAACATGACAGGCTAGAAAGGGCCAACATTTACACTAGCTACTTTAATGAGGACATTGATTTTATCCTCATGACGGTCACCTCAGCCTTATGCAAGATGAGAGCCAACCAGATGCAGGCAAGCTTGGAGACTGAGGCCATGGTGCAGGAGAGTGCTGGGCTGGCATTGCCAGGTGTGGTGGTAGTCACTGGATGAAACAATGGCTTCACCCAAGATAGCCTTAGCTTCATTGGAAGGACTGAGTGACTTAGTGACAGCTGAGGAAAAGCTATTTATTATTTTTAAAAACTTTTAATTATGGTATAATTACAGATTCACAGGTGGTTGCAAAGAGTACTGGCAAGCCCCATGCACTCTTCTCCCAGTTTCCCCATGACATCTTACGTGAGTGTGGTACGCTATTAAGCCAGGACATTGCCATTGGTACAATGGATGTATATAGTTCTATGTTATTTTTATCACATATGTAGATTCATGTAACTGCCAGTACA